ATAGGAAAGAAAATAATGTTTTTATCGACATTTTTTATTGTTTTTATTTCTGTTTAAGACATTCTTTTGATGAGTCCTTCTCTTTCTGAGATACCTCTTTTTATTATATGTGCGGGATATCCATTCATCTTTAGTGTGTCTTTTAATAGATTGAATTCATTATTTATTATCTTTTTTGTTGAACAAATTGGATGTATACGTATGACTAATGTTTTAATGAGTCCTAATTTATAGCGGCGATTCTAAGAACTATCCCAAAGGGTGTAGATATGAATGTGGTTGTCGATGTTACCTTATAATTCTTTCACGCCCAAACGTACCCACATCCATTCACACATACATCTACAAATGATCCTTCCCCCTTCCCCCCTCCCCCACTCACCCTTGAAGTCGATGGCATCGAGATTGATAGCATGGTTTATAACGTTGCTGTTGGTTATCGTATTGAGAATATTGTTCCTGATATTGTTCTTGGTTTTGTTGTTGATCATGTTGCTGATGATATGCATGTGTACCATGTTGCGGCTTGTTTACCTGTTATTGCGCATTACTTTCTGGCTTTTGTAGATTTAGGAAATCATCGACTGTATCGATTACTTTTACTCATTCTTCATTGAATTTATCAATATTTGTTAAACTCAATTTTGATGCACTAGAAAAAAATGGCTTTGGCAGAGAAGTAAATTAAAACATACTTATTCAGATTGATGAAACTCTTCAACGGAAACTCGCCGATGAGGTTGTGGGTGTGGGAGTGAAGGAATAGAAAATCCACCCACACCCACACTCGTTCTCATGCCCACATCCCTATAAATATGTTATTGAAACAATTGAACCATCTCAAGTTATTCTTGAAAGTCAATTAACTCATTTCATCGGTCTTTGTACTGTATGGATCGAAAGATTTTATTTTATGCGCTCATTTAAGTAATTTTGTTATTGGCAATAATACATACATTATATCAAATTTTTGTTTCGGGTTTGATCGTCATTTTTTTTCAAATAGTTTCTGAATAATACAGCTAATATGATATGAAATAACCACAACAATTATATAGTTACATTAGCATTTCCCTATGGATTTCTGAACACTGTTTTCTCAATATATTGATAAATAAAAAACAACAATATGAAGTTTCGATGGGGTATGAAAACTTGGAAGAACGGTCGCAAAGCCAGATATTTTTCGATATATTGAGAAGTGATCGTTGTTAAATAAGGCAACTTGCATTTTTTAGACGCACTATATTCCTTTCCATTTTTCACTATTGGATAACAGATTTTCATCGTAAAAAGTATGTTTTGAGTCAAATTCATTGACATGTTTGGAAGCAACATAAAAAATTGGTTCAGCTTCGTAGTGTTTCGAAGTTTTCCAACGAAGTTTATTTTTCTTGAAAGGCAAAATGTGGAAATATTTTTCTGCGAAATCTTCATTATAAAAGAAAAAAAGTACAGATTTCGCCCTCAGACACTCTGTTGAGATGTGTGTTGGCTATTGTAAGACTCCGTATTCAATGAAAGTTTGAGTAAGATCTGGATGTTATCGTTGAGAATTTGATAATTTTTGATAGTTTCACTTTTGATGTTTTGCAACATTGCCGCCTTATTTGATAAAGACGACTTGTAACTATATCAGAAAATATCTTGTTTTGTAGTAGTTCGTCCGAGCTTTCAAAATCAATCGAAATTTCATGTTGTTGTTTTTGTCTATCTCTGAATACTGAGATAACATTGTGCAGATATAGATAGAAATTTTAATATAAGTATATAATTCTCATGACTATTTCGAATAATATCTACGTCATTATTCACCAACATTTCAATCGTTGGAGCTAGCGAAAATTCTTTTTTTTCAGGAAAATCTGAAATAACGATTTCGATAAACATCGACTATAATAAAAATGACCATTTTTTAAAATAATATTATCGGTCTACTACTAGTTTTTATTTTTTTTTCTGGACATGGATTTATATTCGAGTCTTCAAATATGCTTATCCTTTTACAGACTATATTTTTCATCAAATATAGATGAGCTAATCGTGATCTTTCATTACATGCTGATACAACACGGCTTTCGTGTGTTGTCACAAAATGAAGTATGAACAAATGTCTAAAAATAGATCTTAAATTTTTGAATTTTTTAGACACACGAAATACTGAATTTTTTCAAAGCCGACAAGGCTATTCACATGTCATACTTAAAGTATGGCATCGAAATTGGTACAAATCATGATGTTACAGGGCATCTTTATAGTGCTCATATGCAAGTCAGAAGGAAAAAATACGATAAGTGAATTTTATTTTAAACGTAACGTTGACGACAAAACGTTTTCGAAAGAGTTCTTTTTGGGTGATTATATTAATTTTGACAAGTAAGTTTGAATGAATTTATCACTAGAAATATTATTTTTTCTAGTGCTTAGCACTGTTTTTCAATAAATGTTCCTCGGTTTGTTCGAACATTGCTTGAAATCATTAATCCCCCAGGTCGATCATTCCGACCGTCGAAAACGACGCCTCATCTGGCCTGAAGCGGCTATAAAACGACATATTACGGCATTAATTTTTACCTTATTTCTTTGGTATGACGGGTTACGGCACCACTTTTCGACGTTTTACATCGTTATTACGACATTTAAGGCTGTTTACGACGCTGTTTTCTTGAACCTAGGCCACTCAATGCATTACTTCAAGCAAAATCAGCACATAATGCACAAAGTAACAGTAAAGGGGTTCAATACTATCCCGATCATATCATTATGAATTTCATTATCAACAACCATATTCTCAACAATTGAATCATTAACAACAATATCCTCAACATTTATATTATCAAGAACGAAGTCGTGAACAACAAGATCATCGATAACAATATCTCATCAGTTGATAACAATGAAGATCAACACAGTTATGCAACAACTCAGTTTTTTCTTAACCATATTTTTTTTATTTTGTTTATCCTATAAGATCATTGACAATAAATAAAGTCAGGAAATGTTATTGATCGATATATAAAATAAAAAGAAGCAGAAAAACATTTTTCCATTTATTTATTGACCGTCAATTGAAAATATAGAAAAGTAAGTCATGGTTCTCATTAGCGATCATTGACAATGATCACAAAGATGAAATGAGCATATATATATAAACATGCATACACACGCATAAGATCATATAACAGTTAAATCAAGATAAACATGTCGTACTCATGTATCCACTTAGATAATTTGCCGGATGAAATTCTTATGATTATCTTTCAAAAATTAAATCAGCTTGAATTCCTTCTTTCTTTCTTTAACAGGTGTCAACAAGCGACTAAATAAGATTGCATAAATATATATTTCATTTAGCTGCATTTTGTTTTTTTTATAGTTAAAACTCTTCTAAATGTTCTTTGTTTTCGATGGTTCATACCGTTGACTACTTCACCCATTAAGGTTAACTACATAAAATGAAGAGAAAGAATGGAACGCAAGTATTTTGCTGTGCATCTTAAATCGTACTAAAAAGACTTCACTTGAACTGTTCAAGTTCAAAACTGGGATTCGGCAGGACTTAGTTTATTGATCATATGAACCTGATGAGTCCCCGTCGAATTGGTCTCATTGGTTGGTCTTAATACTTTTGTGAACAGACAAAAGAAAACGATTAACAAAGTCTTCACATCAAGCTTTGCACCAAATGGTCGCAACTACAGCATAATGAGTTGCTACTTTCATTAGTAAATCAAATCAAACTGAAAGAAATAGAGAGGACCTTCCAACTCTTCAAAAGAAACTAGCTGAAAGATTAAGTTCTCTTTAAATATTTTTTATGATATAACACATCAATAAGTAGACAGTACTGTAAATTCAATTCCAAAAAGTCTTTTCGTAAGTTTATACCGAATTAAAAATGAACAAATCCATTAGTTTCAGGATTAATTCGATTATAATTAAATAAAAATTCATTAACCGATAAAATTTTTGAGGATTTTATTGAAATGCAAATTTAATATTTCTTTTCTTGATTGCAACTTATTGATGAACATTAATTTGAATGTTCGATCGAGAAATATTTCTAATTTAATTATTCCCTTCAAATATAAGCAAAAAGTATTTTGTTTGAATAGAGAAACGCTTGTTTTCTTGTAAAAATCTCAATATGTTCAATTTTCATTGAATGAAACTGCTCTAAAACTTATTGGTCTCAAAGAATATCATAGGATGTGTATTCTGCAGGACACCCAAGTAACCTAATAGATCGTAATCCAATGAAGCTGTTCTCGGGGAATTAGACTCGTTGCGATTTTTCATTATTATCAATACGAGTTAGAAAAGATGTCACATCAGGAACTAGTCCTTCAGGAAAAATATTATCTAGCACGACTGAATTGATATTTACTCAAAGATGGATACTTTTATCACCAAGTGAAATTGATAGCAAAGTATTTATTCATTCATACAAGAAATTCCAAAGACAATAAAAAGAAAATTGATCAGTTTTTTGTTGTCGATCTGTTTATATTGATTAAATGTTGAATCCTGTATCTTTATGCTTGTTTTATTATTGTTTTGTTCCTCCTCTGAATGTCAGATATTTTTTTCATCCTTCAGTTCGTTTCTGCTACAAAACATGTGATAAGGTTTATTAACATGACTATATTGTATGGTTTTTATATAAGTAGTGCGCCTGTGAGATTTAACATCGTACTTGATATATATATAGACAAGTCATTTTTCTTGTCAAAAATGCAATCAAAGGATTGTTCTGCAGACCTGACTCAGGAGGATATTTATTCCTGTCAGGATGAACTTTTTCAAGTCCTGTTGTGCGTCGTGCAAAATACAGGATAAGATTTAAAAAAACCGTCCTGTGACGTTCTTGGATTTCTACAGAAAATATTCGATTGATCTACGATAATTTTTAAATCTGATCACAGTGAGTTGAAAATAAACTTCAAACTTAATTATTATTCCAACGAAAATATTTATTATTGTTTTAAGAACAAATTAAATTAAGCAACATTAGCTATTGCTAAACTAGCTGCAACAATAGATCCACTTGCAATTCCAAAATAAAGAGCTGCTGTCATCAAATAAGCAGCTCTTTCACAGTTATTGACACCAACGATTGTTTGAGGACGAACCATAAAAGTAACTGTTGCTAGAAGACCATTTGTCGCTCCCATTAACGTAATTAAAACAAGAAGGAGTATATTATCTATGTGATGGCGAAAAACTATTATTAGAATAAATAGACTTCTTAGAAGTGCACAAATTAAACAAATATTTGAAGAAAAATATCGATGAACTTTAACAGCAAGAGTACGACCAATAAGATCTCCAAGATTAAATGTTCCAATAACAAAAGGTGAACACCACCACGGTTTACCGTTATCCTTAAACCAACCATTATTTGTTGCATTACATGGAATACCTGGCCATAATAATAAACTTATAAATAATACATAAAATTGAACAAATAGATGAGTTCTTAAAATATTCGCTAGGGTGAAAAATGAAAGTTGATTTTCCCCATGACTAAATTGAGCAGAATAACCAAGGTTTTCTCGTTGAAATGAAGCCATTTGTTGACCTATTCTTATATTAACTGGAGGAATATGTCTTAAACGATAATAAACATAAATAGCTATAAAACATAATATTATTAATACACTCATAAATATATAAAATGATAATTGATCTTGATCGATATGACTATGAACAAGTAAAACAATCAATCGAATTATTGTATTTGCGCTAACATTTAAAAATCCAGCCATCCCATTACCAACTTGAACAGCTTGTGTAAATGAACCAGTTATAAATAATCCTGCAATACCATAAATAGGAGATTCTGTGATTGTATTAATTCCACCAACACTCGCAAAAGCAATAATTAGAACAATTTTTTTTTTAAGAGCCATGACTAAAACTGCAACAATAATATAACCTAAAAAACCAGGTATAACACGTTTTGTAAATCCATATTTGTAAACACCAAAATATAATTGAAACACATGAAGCCAAAACATACTTGTGCCAGCTGCTACTGTTCCCCAAAAATCTAAATGATCATTAGGAAAAAATTTACGGTAATAATTTTGTGCAGAAATTAATGATTGATAGGCCCATAATACAACCAAATTAAGAAAAAGAAGCCGCCAATATATTCCATTATGATGTCCTGATATATCATCATTTACTTCTTCTATAATAGGCGCTTCATCAGCTACATTAATGTCTACATTTTCTTTTTCTGTGCTTTGTAATTGTAAAGGATACATTATTATCTACATAATAAATAAACTGATTAGATATTTATTCATTAAATGTATTAACAAATTAAAGATAAACAAATTTTTGTTCTAAGAACTTATTTTTAAAAAAGTAATTTTCAATTTTCTAATAGATAAATGCTTTTCTTCAAATAATGGACTATCGCAATGTGTTATAGGACGAAAAAAAAACAACTTCATCTAATCTCTTAAAATACTTATTCGTGGTGTACATAAATACATGATAATTAAATTCGACATTGATTTCAAAGTCAGTTTTTCAAATTTCAGTATTTTTTTAAAAGAATAGTTTAAAGATAATGTATATTCTCTATTCTATTCCCTGATTTATTTAGAAAGCTTAATACATTTATATAAATAAAATAAAGATAAAAATGATAAAAAAAGATTTTTTTTTTCTTCAACGCAGTAAAAGTCGTATGTTCTGATAAGAGATAAAGGTGACAAACACTTATATGCACCATCTTATCGATGTTAAACAACGATGGTGCATATTCTAAAATAGTATATACATGATTACTAAATTCTCTTGCACAATAGAAAATGCTTCAATAATTAAATAATCGAAACTTTCTCTGATATATCTAATAAGAAATCTTTCTAATTTACAATGTTTAACCTGTAAAACTCTTGCAAAGTAAATTTATCATAACAAATCATCTCTGCTTTATATTCAGAAGAACTTTGTCAAACCTTCGCTATTTGGTTTAGAATATCTTTGTGTTAACTAATTGCTAAAAAAAGTGGAACACTAGGAGATTTGCTAGAAGTCTTCACACCATCGAACATAATAGAAGATCTTAGGTATGTTTTTGAGCAAGAATTTAAATGACTTTCAAGTAAATCAACAGTTCATTTATTGTTTAATATCTTAAAATTTTTCTCGTTTTACTTTTTTTTATTTCAGTTTTGTTTTCTCATCTTTAATGAATTATATCTTGTGATAAAGTATACCCGTTTCATCTGCCATAATATACATATAAAGAGAGATACAAAAAAATTGAGTTAGTGAATTATCCTTAAAGCCAATAATGAACAACTTATAATAAATTTTTGTTTTCCTACATTGTCTCAATTTTCTCTTTTTTACCACTTATTTGCAATAAAAAAGTCTGAACCCTATGATAAATATTCATTATATCTGTTTTTATATTTCACTGAACAGTTTGCTTTTCCCAATAAAAAGTTATTACGCTTTACTTCTTCTACGTGCTTCTCTTGAAAAACGTTTAACATCGACTCTATTTCTTTTCCTTTTTCTTGCTCGATTAACTTTGAAATATCTAGCAGTAGAAACAAATATATCTCGGACGATTATTCTGATCATCTGAAATAATTCAATTTCTGGTGTCAGTGCAAAAAAGTGATGGCTATTTTTCGAATCATAGCCCATCATTCCAAATTTGGGAACGTTGTTCATCAGAATGTATAGGATGTCGTTAAGCAATCTTTCCGTTCAAAAACAGCAAGTAGCACTCGGACTATATTTTCATCATCTATTGTCTTATTTACACTATTTTTCCTATAAAGTTTAGTTTCAATGCTTCCGTTTGATCCTTGTCAACACACTACGTATGCTTTCTATTGTTACAAGTATTTTATTTCATCAATAGAATTTCTCAATAGAAATTAATACTCACAAGTTATGTTTGAAGTCTGAATTAATCTAGCAAGATAAGAATCGTATTTTGGGACAATTTCTTTTGCTTCTGGGAGATAATTTCTTCAACAACGACCTGAAACAAAGAATTATTGGTTTGTCAAATAATTCATATAACCAACTATCAGACCCATATTCTGATCAAAGACTTGATTCATTTAATTCGCAGACAGCATAACAACGCTAGATATGAGACTTCTTCCACAGTAGTTTTCATGATATGGCAAATTACAGAAGTGACTTCGATTAACATGACATTATTTGATAGCTACCAAACAGCGATCTAACTGGATTGAACTAAATGTTGTTAATGCAATGTGGCAATATCGCATGTCTTTTCGTTTGTATTCTTCATCGGGATTCACAGTCTTATCGTGAAATGAATAGAAGCCCAGCTCTTTCTCCCTTTGGCGATAAAAAATAAATCTCTTTCGTAATCTCATACATTGAAATCAATATTTTTCTGAGACTCAAAAGTCACGATGCTGATTGTTATCATCTTGTCCATCATGTTTAAGTTATGATTATAAATTCTTATAATCTTGCTGTTCATGATAGTGAATACCACAATGATTGTAATGCTTGACTGTATATTGAATAAGTTAAATCTCTAATTTTGTAGGAATGAGTGTTCGGAAGAAAAACTAGAGTTTGCTTTGAATTTGTATACTCATTTCATTAAATCTAACTACACAAAGTCAATCTCATTCCATATCGAGACAATCAATCGAATAATCTTCGTGACATTCTATCCATCTTTATGAAGACAATATCGAAGACCATAGGGATACAATGTTTTCACTGAGTGTGTGTGGAGATAAGTGGTAAGTGTTTTGGCTACAGTCGTCTTTACGTGAAATTAATTTTCCTAACGTTATCAATTCATGCCATTTGATGGGCATTGTGTTCAATAATATAATGAAATATCGTACGAATTTAGTTGCAGTTATCACGTTAATATTGCCTAGAAGAGATTCAATAGTTTTGCCTTAGGTGGGATGTTGCCGATAGGCATCCATATTACTTTGAGTCTGTTCCCATGATAGAAAATAGCACAATTCAGATGCGAGGTGGGTGGGTGACTTGGCTCTTGTTTAAATTATACTTAGTTTTCGATATTTTTGTTATTAACAGCTTATTTGTCTATATTATTACTGTATGATTGGCGCAGCGTGGGCTGATTACAGACTGTCGACAGGCTTCGCATTGTAGTTTTATGCAAAAATGCATTGTAAGCGAGTTTCATCTTTAGTCGCGACTTGGAAGATCAGAATGGTATTAAGTTACCGCCGAAAAAAAAATTTTTGGAGTTCACGATAAAAATAAAGAGAAACAAAATAAGTAAATCTTTTGGAGGACAACAGACCAAATAGATAAAACAGAGAAGTAAAGACTTTATTGAAAATGCTCAGATTGTGATTTTATTGTTACAATACAAGACAAATATCATACTATAAATACCATGACACTACAATAGTACTTTTTGTATGCACAATTCCTTAACACGAAATCAGTCTTTAATAAAGTTTTTAACAAACGACATCGATTCTCTATTCATCATAATGTATAATTTGTTTTTAATCGGTTTTTCGGAACAAAATTGCAATACAATAATTATTAGAAGAGAAATAATTTTGTAAATATTTTACATACAAATGTATATGAAAAGGAACGTTTTGAAACCATTTTGGCTCAATTAGAAAGCAAAGATAGTTTAGCATGAAACTATCAGTGATTGTAAAGCATAGACTTACTAATCTCTCATAGAAGCTTCAGTTTGATCAGTCTAACAATTATCTGACTTTGGTACTCAGCTAAATAGTAGGTTCTCTTCTGGCTTTTAAGGATGAAGGTAATATGAACACTGTTGCTATCTGATATCCAATATGATTACGAAAGAAAATAGAAATACGTGTTTGTTCAAGTGTACTGTCAAGATTATCTCTCTAAAAAGACTTAACGCGAGATGTCCTTCAAGTGATAAATCGTTCTTTTGTAAAAATATATATGATTGTATGATATTCCCGGTACTGATTTTGAATATCAATATCCTGGCGGCGGTTAAACCTTTCTAGACTGTATATCATAGCTATCAAACACCATAGGACGAGATTATTTTTCATCAAATTCAATTGCTAATCAATCTACCATATAAAACCCGACAAAATATTCATAGGAATATTTTTTTACAGACATTATAATCTTAAGTTTCAAATGCTAATATAACCTTAAGAGAAAAAAGACTTAATATGCACAGCTCTTTTTGATGTTAATTTTTTTCACATAATGAAAGTATGGAGAATTTATTTATACTGTGGTTTACATTACACAATCTTGCTCAGGTTGCACTTGGTTTTGAAAATCTAACTCCATCGTATCAATTTTTTATATTTTAGAAAATTAACATGCGTCTAACCATATCTTAGTTGACTTGTGCTGATATCGATTCTACCTCTACTGTCCTACATATGTATATATATATATACCAATTTTCTATGCCGCCCAGTATAGTGAAAAAATCATGATGCAGTTTTTAACTAGGTATTTATCGACATTATGATGTTTGTTCATTCTTTCAATTAATAACATAAAAGTTTTTCTTCACATCTAGGGCATAGTCATAGATCATCCCTTATGCTTTCTGTTGCCCTACGATTCATATATGATGTTCTTTTTTTGCTCTATTTCTACGACGGTTAGATACCATACTAAATATAGTATTGATATGATCGGTTTGTAAATATTTAATGAAGAACTGAGAACAAGCGCCAGATGACTCTTTATGATCAATATACGAATTATTTCGCTGCTTTATTGCTCAATATTTGAAACCTAAAATTGATATGGTTAGAAAAAAAAATATTCGTTCGCGTATTTTGTCTAGTAATATAATGTCGACTGTTTAAAAATTGAATTTGATGGAAAATGTCCTTACTAGAGGAGATGCTAGTCATGATATAGAATCTAGAGAGGTCTAGGGACCGTTGAGACTCTGATGTTTATACTCAGCGCATTGCATTGCATTGCATTCAGTTATGTATGTTTCTATGAACAAAGCGATTCGTCACTTGCACAACTTTTCTCGTGAGATTTGCAAGTGTTTGTATTTGAGTACAGAAATTTTTATAGCAACGATTGCAGTAGTCAGATTGATGAAATGGCATTCATAAATGTTAGCTTAAATTAATTGATCATCGATCTTGGTAATTTTCTATTTCATTTATTTGAAGTATATCTCGCCTTTTTCTATAATTGTTTTATTAGTGCTTCGCTTGCTAAAAAAATGAAAAAGCAAGGAGTTCTCTTTATATAATTGAGAGTAAGAAAACACTTTGTAGATAGAAAATAGTTATTTGAAATATTTTATAATAGATCAAATAAAAATTCGAATAGAAATGTATATAAATGCTTTGAGAAAAATCAAATATAAGCAGAAAGGAGAGTTTGCACATGTTTGAAACAGTTTGGTAATGTTGAGTTATTTTTCAATATTTATACATCTCATTGTGCATCTTGTTGATATTCGTCTTGGTCTCATAAAATGTTTCGCCACTTTTCATCATGTTCTTTACTGAGAATCAATACTTTCTCAATTTGTTCGTTTTTTACTATTCGATAATTAGTTTGTTTTACGTGAACATGATTCCAGTAAGGTGCACTCACTTACAGTAAAACAGTTTAATTTCATTCTTATCTTCTTCATGATTACATGTTATAATCAAAAGATCTTGAGTAATCCTCAAGAGTTATATCATGCTCTTTTTCAACTATATGTCAAATGATCTAATTTTTCTGAACAAATAACAATATATATATTTCATTCCGTTTTTCTTTCGTTTGATTGTGTAATGTTCATTATAATTCATAATAATTATCATTTATATTGAGATCATCATAACTATATCATCATGATTTGCAAGATTTAGAAAAACATTTTTATAAATAGAGATCATGATTTTGTAAGGTCTCAAGGTACTGGTCTAATGTTTCTACACAAAGAACATATATCTCAATCACTAAAATTTTTAGGATCACCATTTATATTAAAGAAAAATTGCACAATGATTCAAGGGAAGTCTGATTTTATGAGTACGACATTATTATAAGAATAGTTGATAAAGTTAAACTTGAGATACGTAAAGCATCCAAATTACAGGTAACTATGCAGAATTATGAATACAATAGATTCTGTTGACACATCACTTCTATGAATCATAAAATATTGACCAAAAAATTTAGTCATACTAAATATATTTCATTTAAATTTGATTCTAATTTTTCGTCGACAGATTTACACACAAGTATACATACAGGTAATTCATGACAACTTATATACTCTCATTAATATCACAATTGAGGAAAATAAACAAAAAAATAGATGATTCTATGATTTTGAACAAAAGCATGGAACAAAAGACATAATGCAATAGATAATTCAACAAACTATGCCAGCTGATTGCTTCTTTTACATATGACTTGGTAAAAACAACAAAGAAGAGAAAATATCGATGTTTTCCTCTTTCCTTTGCTATAAGTTTTTTCTCTTGTGAAAAAAACAAATGTTGCTGAAGAGATAATATTCTACTACATATGAAAATATCATGAATACATGAGACCATATGGATTTTTTTTCCCTTTCTTTTTCTTTTTCTTTCCACATCTTCCTATTTGTTTGATCTTTTTAGCTTAATCTTCGTTATGTACATATTACTTCTTTGCAAAAATTAATAACACCAAGATATATAAATACACTTGACAATTCACTCAGTTATCAATGTGGTATTATATTTGACAAAATCATAATATAATATTTCATCTTTTGTAGGACAAAGTAATTTTATGTATTTTTCATAAACACAATTTATAAATCAATGAAAATATAAAAAGAAAAAAATTTTTTCACAAGTCAAGAAAATCTTAATAATCATGTCTATGGCACATAATTCATCTCTTTTAACCTTACCAGTCGAGATTTTATATCATATTATTGATTATCTTGATATATCAACTATTTTTCTATCATTTTCTAATGTATGTACATATTGTCGAGTAATATCTAATACCTATAATCGATATCAACTCGACTTTCGTTCAATTTCAAAAACTGATTTCTCTCATATTTGTCTATTTATTCTACCCGAAAATATTGTTTCATTGACGCTATCCGATGACAATAAGACACCAGGTGAAATTAGATTATTTTTTTCACTATTTAATATTAACCAATTCACTCGATTACTCTCATTAACTCTTCTTGAAATCAATGAAGATGATCTAAGTAAAATTCTACATTCGAACATCACATCAACAATCACATCATTAGTGATCGATTGGCGAGAAGCACATTGTCCTAGTAGCAAAACATTAACTCTTCTTTCGTCAATATTAAGTCGACTTCATCTTCGCAAACTTGAACTTAAAACTGGATCATATACTATTGAAGAAATGTCGTGGCCAGTTCAATCTACATTAGAACATATTATATTGATGTACGTGACACAAAAACAATATTGTACTATACTTCGAGAAACACCTAATTTAAAAACATTAACACTAAATCATTGTTCAATGCATAAAATAGATGAATATATTGCAACATTGTCTGTTCCTATCTTATATGAGCAATTAAGATCATTAATATTAATTGACAGTCGAATGACAATGAATGAACTTATATCACTTCTGTCCTTAACACCTTCATTGATTTATTTGAAAATCATATGTTTACCAGATTCATTTGATACTATTGCTAATGGATCTCGCTGGGAACAATTTATTAGTGCAAATTTACCTCTTTTGCATAAATTTGAGTTCTTCTTTACGAATATGTACAATGTTTACTACATATCTAGAGATGTTCAATTGCTTATCTCTCGTTTTCAAACACCATTTTGGCTCGAAGAGAAACATTGGTTCGTCATCTGTGATTACATTGATTATCTCAATCAGATTATGCTTTATACAGCACCACTATGTAGTACTGACTTTACATATGAGTGTCAAGCTAATAAAATTTCATATTCTACTTTAATCACAATAGAAACTGATGCTGCAATAACTGAGAACGTACATACAATAAATTTAACTTTAACAAAACTAATGGCTGGTGTTGCTACAATGAAGGTATGTTTAAATTATATTACAGCTATGTTCTTTGATACTAGTCATATGAATAAATCAGTATTTAACAAATATATAAGGATTTTTAAAAACGAGACTTTAAATAATACCTAAAGTTTGTTAATGATAGTAATGATGAAAATTTTTCTTTTGAGATATTTCGCACTGAGTAATAAATGATTATTATAATGGTTTTGTTTTCTTCTTTCAAACATTAAGCATAAAATTTCAGAATTTCAATTCAAATATAGATGTATTTATGGAATAGAATTTCAAAAGAAATTGATCTATATTTTGTATTTACAGAACATAATGCCAAATCAGTATTTATTTCGGAATTTAACTAAACTAACAATAGATGTGGATCAAGAATGGACAATAGAATGTGTTGAATTTCTTTCAAAAATAATCGATCTTTCTCGTCTCGATAAAATCACTTTTAATCCTGATTTAAATCACCAATCTATTCATAATACATTAAACAACATTCATATTCTGATGGGATTAGCCTATAATCTAAATACACTCGCAATACATCCTTATTCTTCTTATGATGATATTATAAACATGGAAGATATTTGTTCAATTATTCCATATCATGTAAAATATTTAGAAGTAACTATAAACGATATTAACAGTATGAAAGTGATTCTCGATCATCATGAACATTTATGGAGTCTTACACTTTTAGCTTCTTCTGATCGATCAATGCCTTGGTCAGATTTTATAGAAGAACTTATCTATAGAAAAAAAGATTTTGTATATTGGGAATCTTATTATTCTTTGCATATTTGGTTTGGTCAAACAAGAAATTAAATATAAGAAAATATTAGATGCTTTTGTAACAAATCAAGCTATTTTATCACTAAAATAATGTTTTTACTGGTCATATTTATGCTGTACATCAATAACAAATATTCTGACGAGAATTGTCTCTCACTGGACAGTTTATTTTTTTTTGCTTTTCACGTACATGTCACACTAACAGTTATAAGTATTTTATAATAAACTCTCTAAGTTTTCAATTCAATAGTAATTAATATGCAAGACAAAAAAAAATATAAGTACATATAGTCCAGACAGAAATAAAATCATTCATTGAAATACTTTACTGTATGAAAAATCTGCTGTAGAGTAGTCGTTCTGTAAATTTCAATTGCAAATTTAGAAATAAATTATGAATCTTTTCATAATTCCATATATATATATTACATCAATTGATCGAACACACCAAGACTTCAATATGATTTATTTTCTAATCTAACATAATCAATCATACATGCATCTGAATGTTTGTCTTGTCAAATCATGACTTCCAACTATACAATCGTTTATTCCTTTCATATTGTTTTCGTTAAAACGAAAATGTTTTGTTTTTTTTTTTTCTATAAAGCAACAACGGCAAGAACAGTATCGAAGTGAAAACAAAAAAGTTCACCTTTTCATAGTTTTTTTTCTTTTCGAGAACTACAAGTAACAAGAAAAGATAGAAGAAAAACAACACAACAATGGTTATATAGAAGAGAAACAATAAGCGAAAGAAAAAAGAAATCATCAACATAAACAACTACTAAACAAAACGGAAGTGTCAAATTATCAGGCAACAGTTCTTTTTTCCTTCTTTCTTTTTTGCTTATCACTCCGATCAACAAAACAACAAAAAAGAAAAGAAAAACGATAAATAAAAATTACTGTTGAAGAATATGATCTACCTAAGAACAAAGTAAAATTGTTATATAATGCAGATTGCACGCATCCAATCACCCGAATAAAACACAAAAATTACCCTTAGACCCTATTACCCTTTTCCATCAATCATATAGAAAAAAGCAGAAGAATAAAAAACAAAAAAAAAAAAAGAGAGAAAAGAAATCACACAAACTTAAAAGCGTGCTAAAATCATCCTCAATCTTTCAACCACTACAACAAAAGGCGATCAAAGTACTATAATAGTTTCAAAAACAAAGAAATACATATGAAAAAAAAGAATCGGTTAAGAAAACAAAAAAAAACAGATAAATAATCGGAGATAAAAGAAAAAAAAAGAAAAAGAAACAACAAGAATTTCTTCAATTTCTTTTTTCCTTAAGAAAGTCGACGTACATTTGTTGCTTTCTTTTTCGACTGAGATGTTGTGGTAGATTCACCTATGAAAAAAAAAGATTTATAAATATTCATAATTTTTTTATTATGATCTATTTACCTGTAACAACCGATGATGAATTAACCTGTTCATTAAAATTTAATTTCTAAAAATAGATAAAAAGCAAAAAAACAAAAAAAGTTATTTCTTTCTAAATAAAATTTATACTTCATCATTTTTTCCATGTTTATAATTATTAATCGAATCATTTTCATCAACATTAATATCTTTTTCACTTAATGCTGTTTTAATTGGTATAATACGTTTAACTTGAACAATATATTGTTCATCTTGTTCACGTTCAGGCCATTCACCAATATCATCAATAGAAAATGTTTGTTGTTTATTTAATGCTTGTTTCCACCAATCATCATTAGCTGTATAACGATTTTCACTTGTTGGTAATAATTGACAAATTTCAATAGGTTCTTGGGTTGGTGGTGGTTGAACAGGTGTATTTGATGTTACTGTTGTTTCAACATCAGATTCATTTTTATTTATTAATGATGATGGATTATTAGTTAGTGTAGTTCGTTTTTCTGTTGTTGTCTTACGATTTGATGATGTTGATGCTGGTGGTGATTCTTGCTTTAATGTTTCAGTCTTTGGTTTATTACGATTACGATTACTAACTTGTTTATTGCTTTGTGTAAGCCATTGACCTTCATCTTCATGATCACTATCAACTGCATCATCAACTGGTGTTCGTTTCACAACTTCAGAATTAACTACTACTGGTTGTTTCTTATTTGAAGTCGTTGCATTGACCTTATTGGTTGCATCACCTATAGATAAAAGATCTGATATCATATTCTAATCAAATTATTAGCATACCTTTTTTTGTTGTTTGTTGTTTGTTAGGTGTAGGCGTTTCAACAGCTTTTGTTTGTTTCTTTTTGCCATCACCACTTTGTATTATATCAACATTTTCATTACGTCCAGATGCTTGTGGTTGTTGTTGTTTTGATGATGACGTCTTAAGTCCACTATTAGCATTGTTAGATTTGTTATTTTCCTTAGGAGTAGTTGTTTTTTTATCTGTTGACGTTTTGTTTGATTTTATTGACTAAATTGGTAATGACAAGGTGTTTTTTTGTTTCACATGTAAATTTAAGGATGCTCCCTCTTGAGAAATTATGGCTTGTTTTTCGCAACAGTACAACTGATTGGGTTCAAATTTTTAATACAGCTAGATGATCGAAAATGAGGCGGCCCATTTTCAACAAAAACAGTTCAAAAACGGATACACAAGAGTTTTGAAAGGACTCTCAAAAACTCCCCGAAAATTTATTTTTAAAAGTTCTATCATCAACCTGTGTTTAAAAGAGGTGATACTTTAATTGAATAATTCAATACCTTTTTCGTTGGTGTAATAAGATCGACTTTTTCATTTTCACTTTCTTCTGATGATGAACTTGTTGAAGATGATGAAGCAGCAGTTTTGACCGGCGCTGGTGGTGGTGTGGCAGCTGCATTCTTTTTTGTTTTATTATTATTCTTCTTTTTATTAGCTGCTGTTGTATCAGCCTGTTGTTGTTGTTGTTTTTTTGTATTAACTTCTTTGGTTTTCTTATCTTTATTTGAAGGTTGTTTTGAAGACGAACTTGGCTTTGTTGATGAAGAAAAGAAAACTCGACTAGCAACTGTAAATAATATTATAACAGCTAAAGTGACCACTGAAATAATGGACACAATAGATATTGACACACTGCTCGTCAATTGTTCAAAAAATGATGCTGATGACATCTGAAAAGATTTAGTTTATCAATCGATAGGTAATATTTTTTCTAATACGATTGTTTTTCTTTTCTACATGACTGAGTACAAAATACAAAAACTCGGATAAAAAAAAAAAAGAGAAAATAACATGACGAAGAAGGCTTTTAAATTATTTAGATTCGACACTTATATAGTCAAATCGCAATCAGCTGTTGGACTAGCTGTCGTCATCATCATAGTTGTCTTGATCATTTAACAGAAATGTAGTTTCAATATAGTAAAAAAGCAAATAAAAGCATAATAATAGAAATCCTAATATGAATTCTGTTAAATTTATAACCTATACTGATATAGATGGCGTTAAATATGATAAAATAATAATAAGAGTTTTCTTATTGTTATTTTTTTGAAAAATTTTTATATGAAATAAGAAAATCTATAGTTTATACGAATTCTTTTTTAATTATTATATAATATTCTGATTGGTTGTTTAGAAATAAGAGTTTTTCTTCTCTCTCTCTCGCTCTCTCTCCCTCTGGCTCGTTCTTTCTTTCTATTCTCATCAGCTGGCTAATCGTTCGTGACTTGAAATCAAGAATATGATATCACGTTCTTTCACTCTCTATCAATAATAAATATGTATATGACCTCTGTGCCGCCTATTATTTGAACGTTTATTACTTTTTAAAAGTCGGTCATTCATTTTGACAATAGCCTTGCTTTTTTTCTTTATTCAAATAGTTAAAATAAGATTACAAAAAAAATAAACGAATAATCATCAATGAATATTGTACTTCAAGATCTCCATCTTATTTTGTTAAAATGTTATGTATAATTCAAAGAAAAATACAGATAATTAAACATAGATATTAAATATTTTAGATATTAAAAGAATAACGGCTGAATGAATGCCGTGGCTGATCACTCTTCTATTTTTCTTGGGAATCCTATGGCCATATCAGTATCTTCCACTTGGTAATTTTTCATTTATAAAAAAAAAAAGACAAAAAACTATTCTTGTTCTAAAAATATTTATTTTAGTTAATGCTGATTATCTTTCATCATTTGGTATCAAACGTTATAATGTTATTCGTGCTATTCATGATGAAACAACAACGAATATTCATCGACGAAAACGTTCAATTATTAAAAATAATCCAGATCGTATTCTTACACTTGAATTAGATCATAAGTAAATATATTCATTTATAAAATTGAATATATATTTTTTTTTCATTTTTGTAAAACTCAATCTAAAAGAAGTACTGAAGTAAATAGGATAGAAATGTGTCTCATTTCCCCTCTTCACCATCAAAATCCATCGCAGACCATATATCAATAACTAATTGTTATAATAAATGACCTATATCTTTGTTACATTTCTGAAAGATTAAGTAAAACGATGATGAAGAGACATGTTTCAAAATAGAATGGATAGAACTATCTTTCTGTGATTAGCTACATATTAATCCCACAGAAGTTGCACTAATATGTTATTATTGTTTAGAAATATAACTTTAATTTTAAAAAATACGAATGAATTTTTTGCTACTGATGCTGATATTCATCTTGGTTCATCGAATTTTTTTCAAATAAATTCTTCTATTCTTTTTGATGGTTATGTCTTAGGTAAATAATGTTTTTTTTTTTTTCTAACTAGAACTCTTTATATATTTAATATAAATAATTTAATTAGATCATCCTGATACATCTTATGTTAGTGGTGGATTCTATTCAAATTGGTTTGATGGTACAATTAAAATGTCTAATGAAACTTGGCATATTGAACCAACTCGTAAATATGGCTTAAGTTTAGTCAGTATTGGTCCATCAATTATATATAATGCACTTGATGTTGATATGACAAAATTCAATAGTAATAATGCATTTCGATCTAAACGATTTGTAATTAATGAAAATGACGAATCATCATCTTTTTGTGGACTTAATAAGAATGATAATCGAGAGAATATGAAAGAACAAACTAAACGATTAATAAATGATGAATATGAAGATTTAGATTTTAAATCTCGTTATACAAGATCAAAACGACAGACAATAAATAGAAATGAACGAGAACGTACTTGCTGTTATATTTATATACGTGTTGATCCTACACTTTGGGATGTTGTTTATAAAAATGAAGGTCTTAATGTAAGAGTTTTTTGTTTTTTCGATATTCATTTAAAATTTATTTCTTATAAAATAGGAAAAAGAACCAACTATTCATGCAATTGTTACATTTCTTTATCGAACAGTAACAGCAGCAAATACTATTTATCGTTCATTAAAATTTGAATTGAATGGTGATGTTTTACATAGATTTACATTAAGAATAAAACGAATTCGAGTATGTTATTTTTTTAATATTTTGAAGTTAAAAGAACAAAACATGTTTGAGTTTCATCGAGCTTAGTCATCAACTTCAATTTTATTTTGCTATTTCCTATATTTGACAACAATATTGTCTAGGAATACATTACTAGATATTTCATTAGACAATTTTTAAAACTGTGAGAACAAATATATAGCTCACGACGTTATCATAATCAACTCCGGTAGGGCGAACATCTACTTTTTTTTTTATAACACATACATTGCATGTGGTACATTAAACACAAAATCCGAAAAGGTGAATCCGATCTTCAGAGAGACATTGCTCTATCATTGAATAAAATATTGACGCTAGATCTTTGTCTGAACATTGTAGACATTCGTCATTGATGGAAATATATTATAGACCAATGCGGGTAGATTTCGTTTAAATGCATAGACAATACTTTCATTGCGAGAAGAAGACACATGACATAGTAAAAAAGTTAGACTGCTATTTCTTAAGCTATGTAGCCTTTTGAAGCGTTAGAGTATTCGTTCGTATTCAAGGTAAATATGGGTATAAGAGTAGACAAAAGACCTTCGTTCACATCTCCGGTTAATTGTCTAGTCATTCTCTAACTACATTCATTGTTCCAATTCCGCGACGAAAGGTTTAATTAAGCTTATGTTGAATGACTATACTGAATTATCTTGTGAATAAAAGTCGTCAAGACTAAGTACAAAAATGAACAAATATATATTTAGATTATAACACCTGATGATTGTGGACAAAAAAATTTAAGTTTAAGTGAAACAAATATTTGTCGTTCATTTCTTGATTCAAATGTTTTATTAACATGGCATTCAGCTGAAGATTTTGCTGATTATTGTCTAGCATATATATTTGCTGCACGAGATTTTGGTGATGGAACACTAGGTCTAGCGTGGATGGGTAGTGTTGCATCAAGTATGTTTTAGTTTATAATCAATTATCAATAAAATTTAATTTTAAATTTATTATTTTTTTTCAGACAGTCGTGGTGGTATATGTGAGAAACCAGCAAAAGACATTTATGAAGGACAACGTGTTATGAAAACTCTTAATACAGGAATGATAACTGTTATCAATCATAACACACGTACATCATCATTGATGACAGAGTTAACATTTGCACATGAAGTTGGACATAATTTAGGCGCTGAGGTTCGTATATTATATCATTTTCTATGTAGAGAAGTTTCTTCTGTGATAGAGATTAGTTGTTTTTTTTTCTTCTTTTCGTTTAGCATGATGATGAAAAATGTGGCGGTGATGCAACTTATGGTCATTATATAATGTATCGACGAGCAACAACAGGTCTTGAAGAAAATAATAATAAATTTTCAAATTGTAGTATGGAAAAAATGGGACCAGTAGTTATTTCTGTTAAAAATGAACTTGTTGGAAAAATCAATTGTTTAACAGGTATTATAGAAAATAATATTGATGAAATAAATCAAATTTTTGTGTATTTTTGTTTTTTTTTCTACAATAGAATGTTCACAAGTTGGATATTGTGGAAATCGAAATGTTGAAGATGATGAAGAATGTGATTGTGGTTTTATATCTGAATGTACAGATGATTGTTGTTATCCAGCTGGTGGTTCTGATGCTAAATTAGGTTGTAAATTAAAACCAGGTGCTCGTTGCAGGTAAATATTCAATAAAAAAAACTTTTTCTATAGTTATTTTTTATTTTTATTTAGTCCATCCAAAGGTCCATGTTGCTCTGATCAATGTACATTCCATTCAACTACTCATATATGTCATAAAGATAAGGCTAGTCAAGATTGTATTGGAGATGTTCGATGCGAGTAAGTTGAAGTCAAACAAAAGAAAAAGAAATATATACGATGTTCGAAAAGCCTGCTGTGAAGATAAGAAGCATATCTTGTAAATAGTTCAAGTTATTTACGTGTTTGGTTTCTTTTTTCTTTTTGATATTATAGTATGTTCTTTAAAGTTAGATTTTATATTATTTGGTATGTAAAAAAAAATACGCAAAATGATTCCTATCATCTAAAATAAAGATACCATTTAGCCGATCATTTCCAACGGTTAGGGAGAAAATTTTCAGATCCAACAATCTTTTATTACTGCATTAGATCTCTTCGTAACCTAACAACGTATTTTTTTGCTAGGAAAGTATCATCATTTCTCTGATTATCTTTCATTGTTTTATGAGTTTATGGAAAAAAGTGACGTAAAGATTTTGGAAACAGTTTATTTTTTCATTAGCTGTCGTTCGTAGAACGAAACATACTGTTGTAACAATCCGAACTTTTATAAACTTATTTGATTTGATACTGTGATAGAAGTTGACAAGTATCTCTAACGTAGTCTATATCTGGCGTTTATATATTGAACTCGTTTCGTATTACAATGATACATAAGTCAATATATAAAATAAAACTTTATAGAACATACCACAATAATATGAAAAAAAAATATATATGACTTGAACTAATTATCAAGTATTCACAACGGACTTTTTAGACATCTAGGACATTCTCATTTGATATTTTGCTATATTATAGTGGTATTCAAGCAACATGTCCTCTCAATGATACACAATTCTTTAAACCAGTTGATACATTATGTAATCAAAATACACAATTATGTGATCGAGGGGTTTGTATAATAAAGATTTTTTTCTTTATATATGAATATT